AGAATTTTGCAGAAAGAATCACTTTTTATTTTCTAGCTTTAACCATACATTGACACATTTAAATCGCTATTAATATCGAGAAAACTGTTATACTGTAACACATTAACATAAGCGTCACGCAAATAACTTAAAACTGCTGTGGCCAATTCAACTGATTTAAATAGGTGAGCCAAAAACTATCTGACTAGGCTATTTAAATCGTTAGCATTCGAATTTTACGCATTCAATATGGTTCTCCCTCACTAGAGAAAATTGTTCGGCTGCCTTCCAGTTTATCCTTCTTTCCTTCTACTGCTGTCAGTTCTGAGTCGAGCTGCAGAGTCACTTGGTAGGAAGAATTTACACTCGTTCGGCAATCTGTTTTTAGGCGAGGATGGCTATTTTGATTCTGTGGTGCTCGCGCGAGTGAATGAATTTTCCCATGCTTGGTGTTGATTCAAATGTTCAGATTTACCTACTCTTTACATATCTATAGTAAACTATGATCCTAATCTATCAATTAATTTGATAAAAACAAATTTCAGCAACTGAGTGAAAAGTTATTAACAAATGAGCAGTTTGTGTACAACTGTGCATGTCAAGCATGCTCACCATCTCTCTCCAATGGGGGAGTTTGGTAAGAAAGATGATCAACCCGATTCGTACCTTCCTCAAAGTTGTCGTTGCTCGCTTTCTTCTCTCTATATACAATTTTCACACTGCCGTTCTCTAACGGAACTTTCAACTCAATACTTAATTAATTAATTAATTTATCTTTATTAGGGAGGCTTTCAGCCTTGGGCTGGTTCGCCTCCAAAAACTCTATACTTTCATCTCCTCGTCTATCGTATAAAAATGACAATTTTTGTCTGTTATTTGAAATTAGCATCTTCAACTATAGAGAAATATTACTTTTAGGCTGATTTCGTGGGAATATGATGCGGGGGGTTAAATATGTAGAATAAACCTCCCCATTTTGTTTATTTGTAGTTATAAGCAAAAGTTGACGTTGTTATTTCAACCAATACTAATAGTAATCAGACCTTCGATCATATGCTTGCCTACAAGTGAATTTTAGGGAAGAAAGAAAATTCGATAAGTAACGATGGGTCTGGTCAGGAACTTGATGATTGTTTGTAGAGGGAGTTCGGATTGTTATGCAATTGTCTGTATCTGGTAGGGGGATATTGTAGCTTCTCACTGGTAGTAGCTTATTAACCATCGACTGCATTAACCATATGAATTATCGCGTATCACTGTTGTTCATTACATACCAAGTGAAAACATAATCATATTTTGTAATGAAGTGTTGTGGTGTTAAGATGCTCGATGACCCTGGAGGTATCATTTTTGCCTACTGAGTAGAAAATCATGGGTTCAATCCCAAGCTCTCCCACAATAGGATAAAGATTTTTGTTATAAAGTAATCAAATTTCATCTTCTCATCTCTATCATTTTTTTTTTTCTTTCAAATACGTGTAGATCGATCCTACTGAGTAGAAGATCATGGGTTTACTTCCAATCTCCTAAATAAAAACATTACAATGCACAGTGGTGGCAAGGGTATCAAAACACGCGCTTTTTTATTTACGCTGAAATGGTTGATTAAAGGTACTAGATGTCTGCTGAGAAGTTTCTCGGGTTACAACACTCCTTTTTATGGTAAAAGAAAATTTAAGATTAATCCACCTAAAAGTGAGATGCATTTTTTTTAATTTTCATGAGATACAAAACAATTGTGTTCAGCAAAGCCGTAGGGAACATTACTGTGAACAACTTTGCTCAAGACTATAACTTTCTAGCTCTTGTAACTGCTGAGATATAAAGATTATTTTTGTGGAGACACCGTTAAAATCAGTTTTGTATCTGTTACTTTGTCTACAATGTTTCTACATGTTTGGCATGTTCTACAAAGATGTTAGAAATATCAAATTACAAATATCTTTTCAAATACTGCAAATTTCTATCAATAATATTTGAAAAGTTATTTGCATTTTTTGGTTGAAAATTACCCAACTTCCAATACCAATAACTTATTAACGGGCAAAAATGAGCAATTGAAAGTACAAGAAAATGCAATAAAATGGTGAAGAAACCAGACCGCCCTCACGTGCCCCTTAACCGAAATACTTGCGTTGAAACTTGTCATTTTTCAGAATTTTAAATGGCGATTTTGTGAAATCACGGGACTGCTATCGAGTAGGTGTGAAAAGAAGCTTTCAAATGGATAACCAAGTAACCTGGGTTTCCAGTGACTAACAAAATAACTCGGGATCAAAACGTGGAATAACACACAGCCAATACGTCAATCTATCGATGCAATACAATATTGGAGGCGATGGCATCAGGTAGTAAATCATATGAATACTTGGATAAATGTGTATTCAACTAATAAGTCTTATACTATTATCAGGCTATGAAATTAACTGCGAGAGTTCAGAAAGCTACGGAATAGAAACGGCTCGTAAACTAGTCGATCTATATCCATGGTACATATAAGGGGCGAAAGTGATTTCTTCGTTTCAAATACCCATTGGGCAACTATCTGAAGAGGCAAAGAAAGGCAGAAACAAAGATACCAAGCAATTCAGAACCCACCACACAAGAAAGTTTTACAGAGAAGCCACGAATACAGATCTTCTTCACCGTCTTCTGGAATCCTCCGATCCGTTAATTTCCAACATGAGGGAACTACCGAAAAACAAAAGTGAGGTGTGCTCCGGAGATGCTCTGCAACTTTTGGCCATCACAGATGACAACGGCGAGAACAGTGATATCGACGAAGAGGAAACTGCAAGCACTCTTGGAGATTCGTACCGTATGCGTGAAAATGTTTGCACCATTGAGTAATGTCAAAATTAATAAAAATATCAAAAGTTTCTTTTTCGAGGTTTTTTTTTATTTATTCAAAGGGGGGATGTTTCTCAGAGTCTTCCACTATGTCAATAATCGATCGAGTTTCCACTTGCTGCAACTACGGCCTCCACACGCTTCCGGAATGCACGGCAGGTTCTAATAATGTAGTCTGGATCCATTTATCTCCAGGTACGGGTCAATGTTTGTCTGAGGTACTCGGGTGGCGTTTAGAACAGGCCCTGGCCTTCGTGACGCGCCATATTGAGTAATCCTGCGGATTAAGATCGGGGCTGGATGGCGGCCACATATCCTTCGCCCAGAACGGAAGATGTTCCTGCAACCACTTCTGAGTGCGATTCGAGGTGTGGCACGGATCCCCATCTTGTTGATACACAACATTTGGCTTCGGACCGTACTGTTATTTGATCCACGGAAGAACATACAAACTTAAAATCGCAATGTAGACCTCCGTGTTGACCTTGTCGCCTTCGGGAATGAACACCGGGTCCATTTTTTTTGCCATCGGAAGCCACCAATCCAAACACCATAACGCTAGCAGGATGCTTGGTCAGATACACGTTCTTGTGCTCGTCGGACACGTCTTTTACTGGAAGAGAACTAATATAACGGTCGGTACTGGAATTTTATACGGGATCGACGGTAAACATGCTCTCGTCGGTGAACAGGATTACCGGATTTTTTCGCTTAAGGAAATTAGATTTTCTTGCATCGTTCGACTCGTAGCTCCCGGATGCGGTTGGTTACCATGTGAGTTATTTTTTCGTGCCCTCGACTTCGACCCGCAATCTTCCTTTAAGATCTTCCGTGCCGTAAAGTCACTGATCTCGTGTTCCTTTGCCATTTTCCTTATTGAACGCACTGGATTCACCCGAATCTTCCTTTTGATAGCAGCGATAACCCTCGGAACCCGAGCTGACCTCGGATGACCTGTGGCCACCTTCTCGGACAGTTGTCTTATCTTTTCTCGGTCTAAAATCATTTTGACGGTCCACCAGGATACTCCCACGGCGATTGAAATGTTTTTTTTGCGACATTTGCGCGGGGGACAAATCACGAATACGCTGCCACGACGACAAACAAAAACTATTAAAGGGAGACAAAAGACAAAGGAATTAAGTTCTTATACTAGACATTTGAAGAAACACATAAACCGACTGCATATAGCAGATATCGCGAGTTACCAACACGTCTCTGATAAGAACATAGGGTTGCCTTCCTTGGGCCTCTAGGGTATTCAAAAGTCGCTCTCTGGCGGCGTCATTATCCGTACATTGCCAAACTGCGTGATCGATGACATCGTAACCGTTTCCACACCGACAGATGTTGCTGTCCACGAGGTTTATTCCATTGAGATGAGCATCTAGCGAGTAGTGGTTGGACATAAGTCTACTCATCACGCGAATGAAGTCACGACTTAAGTCCAAGCTTTTAAACCACGCTCTCGAAGAAACATTAGGAATAATTGAATGTAATCACCGTCCAAGATTTCCATTGTCCCAATCTGCCAACTCGAAAGGGTACTCTGACGCACTAAATGGTAAAATTCATCGTGTGAAATTTGCCTGTCATAAAATTCACCTTCCTGTGCGCCCACCTTTGCGAGAGAGTCAGCCTTCTCATTGCCTGGGATTGAGCAATGTGAGGGGACCCATACAAAGGTAATCATATATGATCTTTCGACACTCATCTGCTCCCTTATCTTTGAAAGGAAATAAGATGAGTGCCTACTTGGTTTCATCGACCGAATAGCCTCAATCGAACTGAGACTATCCGAGAAGATGAAGTAATGGTCTGTGGGCATGTTGGAAATCATCCCCAATGCAAAGTTGATTGCTGCCAGCTCAGCAACAAAAACGGAACAAGGTTCCTGGAGTTTGCGGAAGGCGCTAGAGTTTTCATTGAAGATACCGAAGCCAGTGGATCCACTGAGACGAGACCCGTCTGTAAAATATCTGTTTAAGCAATTGACGTGTTGGTACTTTCAGGAAAAATACGTTGAATAATAATAGGTCGAAGTTGATCGGGAATAATCAATGTTATATTGTATAGAATCGAATGCTTCTATATGTGTGAATTGTCAAGTACTGTATCTAATAAAAGCATACATAAACCATTACATTTTAAAATTCTCTTTCTTGTTACAGATAAACACTCATTCAACAAGCCACCATCAAGTGCAGGATATTAAATGAAAAGAACTTACTATCCTCTCGGCAAATTGAGATTTCGGAACAAAATGAACAGAGAAATTATGGCAAAAATTGCTAATCCCTTCCAGCAGCACTGCCAACGGATTACACGAAGCAGCACCAACGGCTTCGAATCTCTTGCCTAAGTGGACATTTAGTGTGAGGCGTGGAAAGTGTAAAAAAAAGTAAGCACAGCAAATTGGTACTTCTGCTGCAAATATGTGAGCATGAAAGCAACCAGGAACTGGAAGTAAAAGAAAATAGAGCTTTTTGTGACGTTCGCGTTCCGCATTCTACAGGAAGATTCAATTTACAACCATGCGGAAGAGCACTTCATTCTAGTGGATAATTGCTTTTTAATTGCATGCAGGTTTTCTGCTTGAATATTTTAAATTGAAAGAATAGTCAGTTTTTTATATGAGTTGTTAAAAACATTTCAATTATAGAAGATATTTTTATTTTCTAATTTATTTCCAGAAAACAATTTCACGTGCAAAGGATAATTGAAGTGGTTGTTAAGTGAAAATATTATCCAGCTTCATTGTATTGGCTAGAGTGAAACAACCAAGGGAAGAAAGTGGGAGCAAAATGTGTGTGACATCGAACGGATCGATTTTTCTCGAAACCGCAATCAACGACAGCGGCACCATCAAAAGCACTCAGACCAATAAGCAGAATAGTTTTAACAGCAGCCAGATGACTTCAGTTGATTGCTTTTCGCGATTCGTCCCTTTTCGGTATGGACGTCAACGAATCTTTGATTTGGTCAACTGCTGTCTGTTGCTGTTGGTCCTGCTAGTGCCAACGACAGATGCGGCAATTTCTAATAGAGGTGAGTAGCATCTTTGGTTCTTCAGTCAGTAGCTTAACAAAATTCAACTGAAAATTGGATTCATTGAAGTTTTTTTTACTGTTAATTCGTTATGCGACCCACACACGGTCAGATTTGTTTTACAGTATGATTCTGAGACGGTAATATGCAGAATGTAACTTATTTCAGCATTGTAATATTCCCAAAATGAAAACATCAAATGTATCACTGATTTTGACGCGAATGAATCAATTCTACGTATTACTGAACTTCAGTTCAAATGCTGCTAATCAATGTCTATAAATACGCATGGTATGAATATTTACACCCATTTTTCACAAACTAAATTAGCACTCTCAACGAATTCTTATTTACTCTACCTGTGTGTAGTGTGAAAAAAGGTAGAGATAAAGTATATTTTTTCAGCAAAAACCGTACGTAGCATGAACATAAAAGCAAAGAACTCATTTCTCTCCAAAATTAATGACATGATATCATCGACAAGCCGGCCTGACACCTCCTAGAAGCTTCATTCGTTCGAAATACTACACACTTAGAAATACCTAATCTTACAGGTGACGGAATCCATCTTTGACATAAAGGATGAGACGTAAACAAACATGTCATGTAAGTGCTCAAAGACTGAAAAGTTCGAAAGTACTTTTGATTGAGCTGAATTTTGTGTCTATTATGACTCAATTTTATGTCAAAATAGACGCTCGTATATGTCAGTCTCAGAGCACCTAAATTTACATTAATTTTTCTAAGTGTGTACTTTCTATGCACGAATAATTTTGTGAAAAATATCCTCAATTTCTATGTTCCTTCTCATGTAACTTCAAATAAATAAGTTCGGTGATTAATGTCATCCTCACTATTGAAAAGTATGCTTGTCAGTTTTTAAACTTTGATAACTTGTATCTTCTGCTATTCATCAATTTAGACTGAAATAACAGCAAGAGTAGCTGCATCTGGTTAACACATATTTTAAATAGGAGAAAGTCAATCTTCTTCTTATTGGCCACCGGAAAGACCATAGTGTAGTGGGAGCAAAACCTCTCATAAACTGTCCGCGTGGAATGTTGCTCCATAGACGAATGTTCATTAAGAAAAAAAAAAACTTCAAAATCATCAACTTCCGTCCGACAGCAAAAAGGTGCAATGAAAAGAATAAAACACCACCCGATCTGCCAAGCTGCCGCTGACAGTTATTGATGGTTATTATTAATATTTCCTCCCTTTCCAACCAGTAAAAAAATCACAATTTCTTCTCTTCTATTTTCCACCTCACGAACGTTGAAGTTCATTTTTCTTACAACCCGGAAAGTTCGGTAAAACGTAATCCAAACCAGGAACCACATTATATTCTTCTGCCTTCCACCAATGTTCATCGAGTTGGAATAGATTCTCGACGAAGAAAATTGTAGCCCGGATAATAATTCAACCGAAACTTGTCATAGCTTGCAACCGTAGTTTTGGCACAACCTCCCATCCCATCCCGTAAGTGTTGCCACATTCTCCCTCACCAATTTAGGCAACGATAGATGACGATATTGGAAAAGTTTACTCAGAAAGAAGATCTTGTCGGACTACTTCCGGAAAATTGACGTTTGGTCATGGGCGTTCAGTAGCATGTCCACGGGCTCATGTAGATTGAGCTAATGAGAGAGTCGTCTCCCTCTCTGGGTACCCGACGCTGAGACGGTATCGTCCGAGAAAACATAAACAAACTTTGCCGATCCGGAACGGAACCAAATGAGCTTCGGTTTATTACTCGGATGTGAAGAAACTGGTGGAATTGGATCCAGAGACAAGCGCAAAATCTGAACCGGCGAACAAATTCTTCCTAATTGGATTAGCCGTCTGTTTGGGTGGGTGGATGGTTTGGTGGGACGTTTTCGTTTTTTCTTTTACTATCCACCACGGAAGACACAAGGCCTACATTTCCATTATTAATAATTTGTGTATTAATCTTTGATCGGATATAAAGCGAGCGAAGTTCGATGAAAGATTTATTATGACGATTATATTGCTTGCTGGAAGAATGGCGAAACATAAGCTAAGAAGTTATTTTTTAGCTTGACTTGATTGATTAATTCAATTAGACTGATTTCTGTTATACGATGGCCTTGTGCGGTATGTGATGAAGGAAGTTGGGAAAATTAAATTAATTGTTATGCTTAATTGGATTCAGGTTAAAATAATGAATTATTGTAGGCAATTTTAAATTATATCTGAGAAATGGAATCAGCTATTCAAAGGATCTTATGCTTATATAATGTTGCTTTAGAAATGCGCACCGTAATACGAGTTTATTTCTTGATTTGTTTTCTTTCGATCTTACTTTCCGTACTGAATACCAATGCTACCGATACCAGGAAGACATTCCTGGCACTTGCAGCACACAACTTCCTCAAGATTTCCTGAAGTGAATGGAGCATAAAGCTTGCTTTTTCCTAGCCCTTAATGTTGTTAATTTTGTTGTTGGATTTAATTTTCATTTTGATTACTTGAGCTGGTTCAATTCCAAGTAAATTTGTTTTTGATCTGATCCAGTCTGCGTATGAAATTAATTGCTCAAAGGAGATTCATGAGCAGTGGGATCAAGAGATTGTCCTTTTCTTTTGTGTTCTGGGGCCATGGTGGCAAAAGTAAGTTTCTCCAAATCGTCTTCCAAGCAGTTTACGAATCTGAAGCATCGAAGAGATTTTAAGATTTTAAACATAATTACCTCAAAAAAAGATCAAAGATAAATATTTAAATGGGAATTTATATTTTTTCTCCAAATCGGTTTCCAAACAGGATTACTTTAAGAATTCCAAGGACCGAAGAGGAATGTTTCTAATCAATGGAGGATTACCACAGGTAGAGTCCAAACAAGAAGCAAAGAGGAATAAGAATAAAACATGGTCGAACGTGTTTAGGTAATATTAGAAGAGCTATTTAAAATTGCTTTAGGTAGCAATAACAGTACGGCAAAGCAGTACGGCAAAAAGCGCATGATGCGCACTGCCACCGGGTGTTAGTTTTTGTTTCGAAGTTGATGATACCGATGATACCTAAATACCCGAATATCCATCTAATTTTAACAAACGATTGGTACCGAATTACAGCATTAATATCAAAAAAATGTCCAGCTCCTTTTCTACAGCGATGCGCGTGAATGAAAATGGTGAGAGATAAATTTATAATTTCACAGCTTACTAGACAATTGTTCTTAACATTGTTCACATGATTACCATCCGCATCCGGGAGCTACAAGTCGACCGATACAAGAAAATCTTGAGTTTAAGACTCTGAGAAAAATCCCCCCTTTGAATAAATAAAAAAACTCGAAAATGAAATTTTTGAATTTTTTTTTAATTTTGACATTGCTCAATGCACTATGGGAAATTTCCATACAAGCAAGCGGACAAAAATATTTTCTTCATTTTTGCTTCAATGTAAGATGTTGAATGGTTGTAATTATTAACTAAGGGACGAGGAACACATTTTTATGATTCACGAATAAGTTTTGATAAGGGCTTAGTTTTTAATTGATCTTTATTGATAATATTTTCAAGTCTTTTACTGCAACATATTGTGAATTTTACAACACAACTTTCATTTCAAAGAATGGTTATACTCGTTCTTCTTAGTTTATTTCAGTTATAAGATAGGTAACAGAATGAGTGAAAACTGGGGGGATTAAAATTAACTTTTACGGGTACGACTCCGGCGTAGTGGTTAACATCCGTACCTCTCAGCACAAGTCACGAATGACCCAAGAGTGTTTAAGTGACTATAATAAAAAAATAAAGAAGTGGTACAATTTTGTTTCAATCTTTTTTTTATTGTTTTCTCGATATTGTACATTTTTTTTATTATTGGGCACTGTTATCATCACTAGCAAAATCTTCTTCAACTTCGTCGACAGCTTCCATAAGTTCTTCCAATGCATTGCAGTTATCATCACCGACTGTTGAGCAGTTTTCAGAATCTTCGAATATCATAAAACTTTTGACAATATCAGGATAGCTCAACGCTTTTTTTGATTGTCTTCTTTTCTCCATCCAAGTGGTACTAATGAGTGGATCTGATTAATTAATTGCCCGAATGAAGATATCATGTAAATTTTCGACTCTTTATCGTTTTCTAGCATGGTGAGTTCGATATTTTTTCAGCTGTTTATTCTGACTTTCTGCTGCTTCTTCTGCTAATATTCCAAGAGGAGCTGGCGAATGAATGGTTATTTCTCCAGCATGAGCAAGTACTTTATGTACGGTTGCGGGAATTTTATACCAATCATATAAAGAAAGATAAAGTCGGTATGTGTCTTTGCAATAGGCATCATTTTTTTCTGGATTAATTGGCTCCTGACTGTTGATAGTAATTAAAATGTTTCGAAACCTCACAATTAATTCTTCGTCGATATTTAAAACGCTGCTTAAAAGATGAGGATTTGCAAATCCTCGTCGACAAACGTTACCTGTAGTGCTCGTACCTGCTCCTCCCGATCTTGGTTGATGAACTCTAACTCCAAATTTTTCATAAAACTGTGCCGTTACTTGTTTTTTTCTTTGCAGATACTGTTCTTTACATGGCTGTAAAACATTCCATTGCTTTATATCCATACGATACGAAATATGCCGCAGACATTCAAAGAAGCGAATCCATGCATGAAGTGGAGATACACTGGAGTCGCTTTTTACGCGGTTTTTTTCACACGGTTTTTTTTTACGCGGTTTTTTTTACCCGGATTTCGGAATTTACGCGGTTTTTTTTTACGCGGATTCCGGAATTTACGCGGTTTTTTTTTACGCGGATTTTGGTTTTTTTTTACGCGGATTTCAGAATTTACGCGGTATATCGCTTTTTACGCGATTTTTTCTTACACGGTCTTTTTTTACTCGGTTTTTTTTACGCGGATTTCGGAATTTACGCGGTTTTTTTTACGCGGATTCCGGAATTTACGCGGTTTTTTTTACGCGGTTTTTTTTACGCGGGACGTATCACCCGCGTAAAAAGCGACTCCAGT